AAATGATTCCCTAATTTAAACATCCCTCATTCAAATTTTCCCTCTCACCCTAGCTGCCCAAACCCATCTCCCCCAATTGCTCCAAGTGGGGCCCACATGTGGGCCGAAAGCATTAAAGGAGGTGGACCTTTTCCGCATCCTGTAAACATGAGCCGGCCGCTGGGCCGGCTGGGCCTATTCATGATGAACCGGCCTATCACAATCACCATGATTCCTCGTAGGTTTCATTTTCCTTTGTCCGATGATCTTAAATTGATGAGAGAATTGGAGCCCCCTCAACCAATATTATATTTCATCTAGGCATTCTCTGAATGCTCGCTTAGAGATAAAAGAACTGCTGTCTTCACGCCCTTAGAAAATCTTGCATCCTTTATTTTTCAAAGTCAGGTCTGCCACTCTTCCACAATGGAGTCTCCAACATCAATCAAAGCAAATATAGGAATTTTTTTTTTAAATTATTCGCACAACAAATCCAATTTTAAGTCTGTTTGTTTAGTTGAATAATCATTAAAATTTATAGTGGATTTAGTTGAATAATCATTAAAATTTATAGTGGATACTATTAGGCACCAAATCTTAGCGCCAACTTTATTAAAATCTTTAGGTAACCTAAAATCAAGTTTAATATGGTATAGATAGATAAGTTTTCTCACTAACTATTGGTTTCTCCATTAGTCAATAGGAGTTCAATTTTTCTTGATCCTAATTTGTTTAAATGTTCCATTGGTGTATTTGCAAGCTTGCATCCAAGCATCCTAACGAATTAAGATCCTTGGTTTCAAAATTTTTTTTAGTTCGACACCTTTCAGCTTCCTTACCTCTTCTTTATGGTCTCCTGTTAGGATGTTATCATAAACACACATAATTAGAATAGATATTTTACCTTCAGATGATTTCTTGGTGAATAAAATATAAATAGATTTTCTTTGACAGTTCTCATGCTTGAATATATCGAACTTAGCTCTTGGTGATTGTTTTATGATATATAAAGATTTTTTTTGTCTGTAGACTTGGTTTGTATTACATTTATTCACAAATCTAAGAGGAATTGTCATATAAACTTTAGCATATAAATATTTTTTTAGAAAGACATTTTTCACATCTAGTTGGTGGAATGATCAATTTAAACAAGCAATAAGATAATTTTCATGAGCATAGCCTCCCCTTAATAATAGTTTGGAACATTGCTAGTAATCATAGTTGATTGAACCTCCAAAAGGAGTCCATTTTTTTCTGCTATCATGTTTTTTTGAATTTTGATGTAAAAAGTTCAGTGAACAATTTCTTGTTGGAGGAGATATTCTTTAAAAATTGAATGAAAATGAAATTAGTTTCAGACTTATCTAAAAAGGTCTAGGTGATTCTAATGTGATCATCAATGAATAGAATGAACTACCTTCCGAGATATTATTCACCCTACGTATAGGCCCCAGCCCGAGATGTGACTATGGATTGCTGCAAAGGGCCATGAGGCCTTATAGGGATTAATGAGGTTAGGAAGTTCGAGTGTGCTCAAATAATCGCCAATTTTAAATTTATGTTGATGAAAAGCAAGGGAATAATTTTTTAATTATATGAAATTTGGATAACTAAGTTGAAAGTACCACAAAATAATTTTGTTTATTGGAGAAAGATGCACATTGAGTATTTTTCATTTTCCTTTTAGTATTCTCTTCATAATTAAGGAGGTTGAGACTTTTTTTTTTACCTTGTCGGTTATATTCATCATGTCTCAATCATGAAATTCCAAATGAGTAGAAAGAAAATTAGTATAGTTCATCTCCTCCATAATTTTACTGATTGATTATGGAGGTCAACCTTAGATTATGGAGGTCCACCTTAGAGTTTAAAGGTTTTCGTTTGAGTAGATCTAAAATTGAATATATGGAGTGCAATTTTAGTAATAATACATCTAGTGGGGGGATTATGACTTTGGGTGATCAAGTCATAAATAAAAGTACACATTTTAAATATCTTGGTCTATTGTTCAGAGTGATGGTGAAATAGGTGGGGATACTATTAGTAGAATTCAAGTTGGATGTTTGAAGTGGAGGAATGCATCGGGCTTGTTGTGTGATAGAAAAGTCCCTAGGGAAAATTCTAAACGATGATAGTGAGACCTACAATGTTTTATGGTGCGGAATGTTGACCATTAAAAGTGAAGCATAATATTATGTTAAGTGTTGCAGAGATGAGAATACTCAGGTGGATGAGTGGCTTTACTCTTAGAGGCAGGATACAAAATGAGCATATACTTGAAAAGGTTGGAGTAGTTCCACTGGAAGATAAGATTAGACAGAGTCGCCTTAGATGATTTGCTCACATAAAACAGTGGCCTTCCGATGACCGGTTAGGAAAGTAGATGCATTAGATTTGACTTATGTTAAAAAAAGTAGAGGTAGACCTAAAAAGAATTGGTTAGAAAATATTAGAAATGACATTTATTTATTAGATTTAGATGAGAATTTGACTTTTAACAGGACAATGGAGAACAAGGATCCATATAGCTGACCCCACATAGTAGGATAAAGGCTTGTTGTTGTTGTTGATAATGAGGTAAAAAATGCTTATGAATCTAGAGAAATTAGTTAAGAACCAAAAAGCTAGTGATATTGAGTATTAATGCTAGTTAATTATGATGTTGATCCATCAAGCACTTTTATTAAATGGTCATTGAAACATGGATGAAAAGTTTGGAATAAGGAAGCATCCCTTATATTTGACCAGTTGCTCTGGAGTCCATAATCCAATATTATGATTTTCATTTTGAGCAATCAAGGCATTCCAAATCATATCTTATTTAGCAATCAGACCAATGATGATATCTGTTGCGGAAGGCTTTGGTTTGATGTTGCCATGGGATCTTGATCCATTGCTGGATGAAGCGCTAGAGGAATATCTTCTTTCAAAGGCCATTTTTTGTTAAACCATTATCATGGTTTAAACGAAAAATCCTTAAGAGGAAGGATGGGGAAGACCTAGAATTCTGAGAGGATGCAAAAAATAATGAAGTGTATTTTTAATACCATGTTGAAGAAAATGAGAGAATAATATTGCATATTTTGTTATTCCAAAGAGTAAAGGAGATAAAATATTATTGGGAGAGACATTGCTCATAAAAAACGAAAATTGTAATTAACTTGATTAACTATAATTAATTTAACTTTTAAAAAGTTATTTTGCATAAGAAATAGTAATTCATGGACTGCATATAGAAGGCGGAATAGTGGTTAATTGTTAAGGTAGTGCGGTTTAATTGAATACAAATTTGATGTGCTGTTATTTATAATTTCCACATTTATATTAGTTGCTGTAGAGTATAGATTTATGGATATTCTAACTCTAATAACATTAAAAGTATAACGAGCATGCCCAATTGGAAATGATAACAAATATTAACATGGAAATTTAGGATAATGACATAAGCGTGGTTCTTTCAATAATATTCTTATAATAGTATGCCACTAAGGAACAACTATGCTAAAGGATATGGATTGACAAGCGAGGATTAAATTGATAAAAAATTGTCTTGTGATTGATGACTAAAGTAGATGTTTTGCATTGCATCAGTTCATTGGGTTGTGAACAACTCTATTCTGAAGAATTGAAATGTTGTTGGAAGAAGTATTGGAGCATCTTGACTAAATTTGTTTAACTAGCAAAATTCATCCCACAGAAATTCATTCTAAAGAGAAATGAATGGGAAATCCATTCTGAAGAAGAGGCAAGGTTTAGAAAATCCATCTAAATTAGAATAACATGAAGTGGGAAAACGACCCATCAAGAACAATATCTGTAGAGAAGGCTTTTGTCTTTGATCATAAGTAACAATATTATCAACTATAAAAAGATATCTTTGAAATCTTGAAGGTTCGTATGCGTGGTGACAGACTATTTGATTTTATGCTGTTATTATATAGAATTGATTGAAAGAAGCTTTTTCTTTTCCTCCATTTGGCTTCATAGTTAGGCTTGGTTAATTTAGAGGTTGGTTTTGTTGGGATGGGTGGGATTTAGTCAAGATGGTGTTTGGTAAATGGGATTGGATAAGATATAAAAATTGAGTTGAGTGGATTATTTTTTTTTTAATTTAATTGATTTTATTTATTTTTTAAAAAAGGATCTCAATCTTCAAAAATGATTTGGGGAATTTGATTGTTATTAGGTTGCTTTGAAATTGAATAGAGGTTGTTAAGGAAATTTGCATGTAGTTAGCTTGAAAGAAAGCTTAAGGCATGCATCAACCCCTTCCTAGATGTAGCATTGCCGAGAGCTTTATGTACTAGGTACGTCATTTTTTAGTTGAGAGGGGACTTTTCTTACATATTTATAGTTATATTTTCAAGAATAAGAGAAAGATAATAAGGATTATGTGGAACTTAGTTTGGTGAGGTAGAGGGGGATCGGATGTGATGGGAGAAGATTAGAGTGGGGCATCAAAAGTAAGGATTGTGATGGAACTTTGTCATTGATTTGTTGAGAAGGGATAAATACTGATCCGATGAAGTAAAGAAGAGATTGTGAATGTTAGAAGAATGAGGCTTGAAGGGGGAGGGAGGCAAAGGTACAAAAAGAGCAGGAAGAGTCTCAAGGCTAGGGGAAAGAGAGGGGAAATCTATTTCTTTATTACTTAATCAAGCTTTATTAGTTACAACCAAGGCTTGCTATTTCTAATAGTAGACATATTATAGATATTCTAAAATAATACGACAATTACAAGCAGACAAATATATCAAAATGACAAATACAAGCAATTTTCTTTAAACATGACCGTGATGATGACATCTCCTGTGACAAAAGATAGGAATGACAGGCTAAAACAAGACCATATAAATGAACACAATGTCTCATAATTGGGAACTCAAGTAAACATCTTGCATCACTTGGTAAATCAGTACTGGAGTTCTAACGTATCCTTATCTGGATTGAATTTAAACATTTATGTCCATTTCTTCGCTCAATCAATTGCAAATTTATTCCAATCTTTGTTCCTTGAATAGACTGTCCAAAAATTATATGAGCTGCACCGAAAAGTGTTCTCATCAACTCATATCACCATTTTCTTGGACATTCTATCATCCATCGCATCCCATGCAAGTGAAGTGAACTGCCACACCACCTTACTTCATAAGCTGGAGAGACTCTGCTCCCTGCTGGAGATTCCTGAGCCACCTTTAGTCCATTTCGAGAATGAATGCCATCAGAGCTATCTCAATATATTGAAGAAAATGCTGATAGATAACGTTCCAGTCTCAGAGGAAACATGCCTCAAATCTCTAATTGTTTCAGAATGCCAGAATATGTTAAATATTTACTTAATCTGTGCGGGATTTGGATCAGGAAAACATTCTACAGATAAAAATCTGAAGTTACAAAGAGTTCTACCTTTGGTTTCTTCAAAGAAAGAGGAACTGGCAGCCAGATCTTCTCTTGTTGTGATGGCCATTAAAGGATTGAAGGATCTTGACAGTGATACATTTCGACGAAACCTGCAACTCATTTTCCCTCTGCTGGTCGATCTTCTTCGTTGCGAACATGGCTCACGAGAAGTGCTTCTGGTGCTGTCTGATATCTTTCAATCATCAATAGGTCCTGTAATATCTACACTGTAAATATTTACTTACTTGCAAATGCATTCCTCTTAACACTATTTATAATTATTCTTTATTTTTTTGTTAACAATTTATGTGTCTCCCATTTTGGTAGAATTTATGGCACTGATGATGGTAGTGAAATTGGGCTGTATGGGGCACTGTGAGTTGAAAAACCTTATGGTGTGAACTGCACACATTAGAATTTGTTGTTTTTGATAAGGAAAGATGATGATTTTAATTTTTCTGAAAAGGATGAGAATTTATCCTATTTTATAAATAAGGATGATTAATTCTGGCTGAATATAGTTTCTTTTTTTTTTTTTTGGAAATTTGGTATTATGATAAGCATTTGTTATAAAAATTTGATATTAACTCTTATGAATTCTTAGTGTATAAATTTAGTATATTGGAAATTGTTCAGGTGATAATTCTGAGATTTCATATAGGTTTTTGTAAAATAAGAGCTTTGAAAACTCGTTCATTTGTCTGAAAGTCATTATTTACTGAACAAGATAAACTGTTATTCTTGTATATATATATATATAGTTTAGTACTAATTTTGTATTGTGATAAAATGAGAAAGGTTTCATTTTAGATGATTTTCTTACTGCTTTTCAAAGCAACTTTTTAGTATAAAAATTTTAATTTTTGTATTAAAAAACTTGTTTGAAAAATAGTAAAAAAATTATCCAATGAAGCCTAAATTATGTCTCCCATGAGATTAAAATGGGAGCATTCTTTGAGGGAATGGGGCATTAATCTTTGGTTTTAGATGCATGGCGGTGGATGATTTTTTTTTTTAATTTTTTTTTTGTGACGAGGAAGCACTGTTCTTAGGCCAATATAAATTTTGGTCGACTTAGCAAGCAACCCGTATCAATTTACATGGGCCAACAATTAAGTAATATTACTAATGAGTTATTTTGAGATGAAAGTTGAGGGAGTTGAGTGGATATTTGGCGAGTTTAGAAAGTGAGAATATTACTGTCTTATAAGAAAATAACATGAAATCTAAAGAATGACTATTGTAAAGTAAGATATCCTAAGTATCAATATGCTACAAAGGTTTAGGTTTTTTAGAGGATGCTGGATTCAATTTTGTTCATGGGTGGTAGATGATCTTATTAACGGCAAATTATTGCATCAGGTCACCTGACGGAGAGATCCGTTCGGATCCTCTCTGTCTACAGTAACCTGCGCTTTACTGTAGCACTGCTACAGTAAAGCGCAGGTTACTGTAGACAGAGAGGATCCGAATGGATCTCTGCATCAGGTGACCTGATGCAATAATTCGCCCTTATTAACAAGTTGCATTGAGATGTACGATGAGGGAGCGGAGTAGGTTTTTAATGAGTATGAAGAGTGAGAATGGTGTGGGATTTATAAGAAAACAACATAAAATCTAAAGGAATAGAATTGAAAAGTAAGAGATAATAAGTCACAAAGTCTCATTAAATACTCACTAAAAATTCACTTGATTCTCTCCTTGTTTATAACTTGTTAGTAAGATGAGGTGTCATTCAAGCTCACTGCACCGATTTTAAAAAAAAAAAGTCTCTATAATTGGAACTTTTATTTGGTCCGGTCATAAGACGTAGCTCTACGTTCGGCGGCCAATAGAATCGCACCACGTGTTCTCAGGATGGCTCAGTATTTCTCGATTTTGCTACGTATTGGTCGATTTTGCTAGGTAATGGTCGATTTTAAATACCGAGCAATATCAAGCAAATACCGAGCAATACCGAGCAAATACCGAGTAATACCGAGAAATACCGAGTTGTACCAAGTTTTTTAGAAAAACTCGGTACAACTCGGTATTTCTAGAAAAACTAGGTACAACTCGGTATTTCTTGAAAAATTCGGTAAGAAAAAACTCGGTACAACTCGGTATTTCTCGGTATTACTCGGTATTTGTCTTCACAGAGCGGTATTTCTCGTTATTGTCAAGCAATACCTAGCAATACCGAGTAATACATCGCAATACGCGAACATAACATTCCCGGGTTCCGGTCCGAGTCAGGTCATCGGGCTGCGCAGCAAAGAGCAAGAGCACGTGGCGACATGTTATTGGCGGCCGAACGTAGCTCTACGTCCTATCAGAGAACGTAATAATTGTTCCTATAATTGCAAAAAGTTTGCTCTGGCACTCTCAACTTTCATCTCAAGATAACTTGCTATGAAGGTCAAATGAGAGGATATCCAATAATATGTTGAGAACCATCAGAATCTATTCATGCAATTACTTTTTGATTTGTTGAAAACAATTTGTAAAAAGTAGATTGAAGAAAGCATGCAGAGTTGCTCTGATCAAATTGAACTTAAACGTCTAAATGATCTCTACTTTTGCTGAATAAAATAGCCTCTGATTAATTTTTTAATAAAAAAAGTAACAGAAGTCCATTAAATTTATTTTGATATAGTGCAATGTAAATTGTAATTGCTTCATCATAAAATGCATTATTTTAAAAACAAATTTAATAATTTTGAGAATTATTTTAATCAAATTTTATTAGAAAATTATTACTTTTTTAACAAAAAATTTGCAGGGATTGTGTACTATATTTCTTTTCTTCAAGGAGGAAATTATAATTCTCCTCCTTTTTAATTTTTAAAGAAACAAGCTTGAATAGTTGGATCAAAGCTCCTCATCCATCTTAAGATCATTAAAAGCAATGGAATATATGATATTTAAGATCTTTGATTATCAATTTGATGTATCAAAATTTTTTTCAAAGAATAGTTCTAATTATTAGTTCAAGTGAATAAATAATTTTTTTACTATTTTAGGCCAAGTTTAGGTAATTAAAGTCTTCATTTATTCTCTCTCTATTAAAAATATATAGTTGCATAAGAGAAGAGTTAGTTTTACATTCTAAAATCTTCATGAAATTAGTTAGTACATTAGGAGAAACTAACTAGCATAAGCATTAAATGAAAATAGTGTAAATTGATTTAATTTGTTATCATTAGAATCTTAATTTCTTTCTTGATGGTAAACAATTGACTCAAAAAGCATGCCACATTGGAGTCAACCCAAAAGTCAAATGATTTGGATTAGATGCAAGTCAACCTGAATTTTAATCTGATTTAAAAATTATTTGAATCAAATTGGAGTTGAAATTGGCAGTATTCAAATCTAGCCCATTCACAAGCCTACTCCCCTAACTATCTTATGCTCTAGGAATTCACATAATCACATTCATCTTTAAGTGTTTTTTTATTTTTATTTTTTTATTAAAGAAGATAAACTATATCCATAATTCAATTTTTACAACAATAATAATAATAAGAGGTTTTTTGGTTGCCTGTAAAGAAAGTGTAAAGTGTTCAAAATGTGTGCATTTTGAAAATTTATTTTGATTTAAAGTAAAATAATGCAGTGTACAATTTTGATGAATTTGAAATTTATCTTCTAGTTCATTTTTTGTTTATTTGAAATTTCTCTGGTTTGGACAAATTCCAAATACATCAAAAATTCATTGCAATTATTTCCGCCTATTGTCGCCAACCACCACCCACCATCGCTTGCCACCACCAACCACTACCATCGATGACCACCACAACCGACCACCCACTGCAGGCCAACTCCGCAGCCGGCCACCTACTGCATGCCAACTATGCTATCGGCCACCCAGCGCTTGTTGTCACCACCAATCGCCTGCCACCAACCACACCGCCGCCAATACTGTCCATCATCTTTTACGCCCTATCATTTGACCACCTATTACATTTTTGTTACTTCAAATCAAACAATAATAATAATAATCACATACATTACTTTTACGCTCATCCAAATAATTCTGATATTGCATTCTTTTTTCAAGTAATCAAACATCCCCTAAAGCAAAAATAGCACATGTGAAATTGCTAATTAAGCTCTATTTAATAGGTAAAGACTATTAAAATCATTATCAAGATCTTTAAATTTAAATCTCATTTATCATTATAAATGTCATCCTACAAACATTAGAGTGGGCAAAAGTAAAAGAATCAACCTCCCATTTAAAGTCTGTTTAATTTGTAAAGACTTTATAATAATATGACTCTCATTGGAGAAATCAAATTCTTCGCTTGATGAATTCTGCATGAAATTCTACAGAATAGAATAAATTCGGTAAAATGATTTGAAATATATTCTGCATGGCTGCATCATCAGATAACTTGAGCTTCCATGTTGCCACTGGAAAAATCAGTTGAGATCACTTCATAGACTAGTTTATATTATGAAGTCTACACGTAATTGCGTACGCCTGAACAGAACTCCTACAGGTATTTATCTTTGTAGTGATGTAGTTAGAACAAAACTCTTACTGATCAAAAACTACTCAAATTATAGGCTTCATTTGGGACAACTTTCTTATTGATTTTCAAAGCAAATTTTTAGTACACAAACTTCTTCAACTAAAATTTTTAATACTAAAACCTACTTTAAAAAACATAAAAAAGTTCTTGGAAATAAAGCCATAATCAAATGTAGGACCACTGATCATACACTATGAACTACAATAAATGACAAATATTATTCCACCTCTTTAACAACCGCCTATCATTCACTCCTCTTTTAGATTAATTATTATGTGTGGACGCCGAACGCCGTCTGGAAACCAACCGGGATGCGGCACATCACCCCTTCGCTCGGTACTGGGGCTCGGTACTCTTGACGTGATGCATTCTGATTGGTCTCCGGACAGCGTTCTGCATCCGGTCTCCGCACATAATAATTTCTCCCTCCTTTGGCATGCATACACCTAAAGGAATTCAAAATCCACCACCTAGATCTAAAATATCATTTGGTGTATGAAAACTTTAAGCAACCAATTACTTCAAAAATTTGTACATAGCACAGGTTTCAGTAATCATATTTCAAATATAAATTCATGAAACAATCATCACTAAAAATCACAAGAGATAAAACAAGTCATAATCGCAAACTATATGCACTTAACATTGCTATTGAAGGAGATATAAATCAATGCCAATGTCATTTCAGAAAAGGATAGTCATATACAGCCCGTCGGCCCACCATCCTGTACATGTCAATATCAATCTCCAACCAATGTTCAACCAGGTTCCCACTTGTCTTTCAGTATCAATCAATTCAATCAATAGTCAATGCAATAATCGATGCAATGCAATAAGCAATATAAAAAAAATTCTAGAGAGAAACAGTAAGGGAACGAGGTCTCACATGCACTCAAAGCATAATATTTGAAAGTACCAAAAAAAAAAAAGAAAGTAACATCATTTGTATCCTTGTAGCTTCTAATATCAAGATAAAAGTAAGCATTAAATGTTAGTACAACAACAAAAGCATAAATATAAATTGTTTAGCACACGAAGTTTCAACCATTCAATAGAAGGAATGATATGATTAGCTTCTTCGGTGGTTTGTCTTTGAACTTCCATATCATCTTCAATAAATATCATAATTTAGGCTCATCAAGTGAAAGATTAGCAATTTATAATATTCCCATACCATCGAGACTCGAATCCATCTCGAAAATGAGAGAACCTTTGCTCGCAGAATGAGCCACATCGGTGCAACATAGCCACCCTCTTTAACAACCCCTATCATTCGCTCCTCCTTTGTGGATTAATTATTCTGTGCAGACGCTGAACGCCGTCCGGAGACCAATCAGAATGATCCACATTACCCCTTCGCTTGGTACCACTAACGTGGCACATTCTAGTTGGTCTTCAGATGACGTTCTGCGTTCAGCCTCCGCATAGAATAATTTCTCCCTCCTTTGGCACGCATACACCTATAGGAATTCAAAATCCACCACCAAGATCTAAAATATCATTGTTGTAGGAAAACTTTAAGCAACCAATTACTTCAGAAATTTGTACATAGCACAGGTTTCAGTAATCATATTCAAATATAAATTCATGAAACAATCATCACTAAAAATCACAAGAGATAAAACAAGTCATAATCGCAAACTATATGCACTTAACATTGCTATTGAAGGAGATATAAATCAATGCCAATGTCATTTCAGAAAAGGATAGTCATATACAGCAATGAAAAAGTACAGATTGACACTATTTTGAGTACACAGACTACTACTAAATCAATTGGTACCATCTCTACATGACTTTGGTTATGAAGAAAATTAAAAATAAATAAAATAACGATCGAAGATTTATATACAACCAGATGAGACCATCTGGAGGTGGAAAGAATCACTTTTAAAAGCTATAAATAAATGCATTATATTCTCCAATATATGCATCCATCAGTCCATGCTCCACTGCTATATTAGCTACAGCAGGGCGTGGGCGTTACTTTTTACAGACACTACTTGACGGCAACAGAGCAGAAGATATTTCTGCTCCATTGCATTCTGAGCTCCATCCTTTGGAGCAAAACTGGACACTATGAAGTAACTCTGGTGAACAATCACAAGTACAACCTGTATAGGATTACTGACATTTTTAATCTGAATCAAATGTGGCAGGCATAAACAAACATATACTGGAATAAGCAATAAAAAAATTAAAAAAAAAAAAAACATAAAAATAATAAATAATAAATAATGATAAAAAATTATATATATACTGGAATGAGCAAGGAAATATGATTTTAAAGAGAAGGTAGAGAAAGAAATACAGAAGGATGTACAGTTAGGCTCCGCCATTAGGCTAATGGGTTAACCAAGGAAAGAAAATTTTGAATTTACAGCTAGAAACCGTAGGATGTTCAAGTTAGAATCTGTTATTAGTTTACTGGAGTAAACAACGAAATGTAACTTTGAAGGGAAGCTAAAGAGACAAAACTCTGTTATTAGCTTTCCGCTTCTTTTCTACATGCAGATCTAAGGAGTTTAGTACAACTTTAAGAAAAAATTCAGTTAAATGAAGGCTTAAGAAACAGCCTTCTTGGAAAGGTACTTATAGTACCTTAAAAAAAAACATTTATAAATGTTTGCTTTTCTATCTTATCAATTAATTAATTAAATATATCCATTTTGATCATTCTATGAACTCACATCTTGCAACAATTTTTTTATGAAACAATAAAAACCGTTATGATTTTACTAAGCAGTCCATCTTATTTACTCGGACAACACAACATGATACTATACAGTAAAGAATAGTAAAGAATAGCAAAATAGAGAGAACAATGCCAAACAAAGCCTTAGAACACCAAAAAAGTGAAGTTGCTTCCAAACCTATGTAAAGAATTTTACTCAAGAATAGTATAATAGATTTACGATGCACAAGAAGAATCTTGGAAGATAATATATATTTGTAAGAATTCACGTAAGCCTGCTGGTGGAATAACTTCAAGGTTACTTGCTTACTATTAATGCATCCATATTGTTTTAAAAAGTTCATGACTGATTCTTAAAAGGATTAAGGCTGCATAAACTTGGCTTTCATCACCCACATTACAGCTTCCTGTGCCAGCTCTTTAAAAAAAGAGAGCAAATTTTTTTCCAGACAATGATAAAGTTGTACAATTTTTATCTTAACGCACTACAGTTTTTTTATTTTTCCCTTTTGAATGATTTCACTTCAATATCTACTTAAAACCCAGCGGGATCATCTAACATTAAAGGATCATTATACATCACAACCAAACGGCTGAATGAAAAAAATTCTTAGGGGTTGTTTGGTTGTCTAAAAAAGGTATGTAGTATAAAAGGGATGCAATACAAAAAAGGAATACATTATAAAAGGATTACTTTGGAGTTATTTGAAGGAGTGTAAAGTAAGTTCAGGTGAATGATTTTTTAATTTGGTTTAAAATAAAATGAATTTAGTGCATGATTTCTTAGGGGCTATTTAGTTGTCTAAATAATGAATGCAATATAAAAATAATGCAGTCTAAAATGAATACATTGTAAAATGATTGCTTTGGAATTGTTTTCATGAGTGTGAAGTAAATTCAGGTGATTTTTTTTTTTTTTGAAATAAAATAAATGTAATGCAACGTTTAAAGATGGTTGCGACAGGCAAGTGGTGACAGTGGTGGCTGGCGGAGGGTGGCTATCGATGGAGGGATGGCGGCGGCGGCGGTGGTGGTGATGATCAGCGACAGTGGTGACCAGCAGGTAGTGGCCTGCGGCTCTCAGTGGGTGGTGGCTGGCGGTGAGGGTTGGCGGTCGTGTCCGGTGGTAGGTGGTGGCGGCGGCCGAGGACCGTGATGGTGGTCAGTGGTGGTGACTGACGGCAATCAAGCAAGTTTGCTTGCAGTGTAAACCATCCTCGCTTAAAACTGGGCAAATTTGGTTTAACTAAAAAATGAGCTAGAATGGTCTACACTATATTTACTTTACTTTGCATTCCTTTTTCATCCAACTAAAACCAAAATTTTCAAAACACTTGCATTTGAAATACTTTAAACTCTTATGTAATCAAGCTAAATAGCCCCTTAGCAAAATAAGAAATGAGTATTAAACGGACTTTATTGGGATTTGGTTCTAGAACTTGGATAGGAAAATACAAGTTACTTAAAATAAATTAAAATATAAATTATGTTTTAATAAAATAAATTTTTTAAAAGATAAAAAATGGGACATAAAGGAGTTTTTTTTTCAAAAAGATGCGTACTATCCCTAACATATGTGTACACTACTTCTGAAGTTTAAATAAAAGCACTTTTCCGTACATTTAAAAAGAATTAAGTATTTTTGAATAATTAACATTAGAATAGTGACATGCAAAATATAACGAATAACACAAAATCAATGATACACACGTACATATCTACTCAGACGTAGACAGGCAATAAAAGTAAACACTTTGAACAGCTTAGAAACTAACTTAAATATAGCAATCGACCCCTACTCCCCATAATCTCGTTCAGTTTCATTTCTCAGCCAACCATATTTTTCAGTTGGTGTGAATCGTGTGATGCATGAAGGAGAACCGATGTCATAATTTTTCTTTCAATGCTTTGTTCTAATTAAACCAAATTCATAATTTAATAAATTATATTAGTACTTTCATATCAATCTTTTTCAAGGACAATGAAAGTCTTATAAAAGCATGAAGTGATTTTTTTTAAGTACAAATTTAATTTATTAAAAAAGTCTTACTTACCTCAAGAAAAAAGTTTTATTTTATGTTAATTTTAATATAAATTTAATTTATTGCTTCACATATAATTTAATTATTTTATAATTGTTTTAATTAGGATAATATACTAAAATTAATATGATTGTAAAATAAAATGAGAGATCATTGGATATAGAATAGCTTAATTACTTACCTTGAGAGAAATGTATTCACTGAATTTGATAATAGCTTAATTTTACAACACCTCCGAAAAATAAAACTTTTTCAAGGGTACTTCCATGTATCTTGGAGTACTTGCATAAAAGTTGATGAATTTTTTATCAAGAAATGCTAAACTGACCGACGGTGAAAATTTTCACCAATAAAGGTTGAAATTACTTTTTTGCTTCAACAAGATTATATGGCAGCAGCTTAAAATAGGGTGAAAATGTTATTTCACCGTCGTCCGAGGAATCTTCGACATCCCCATCAGCCAACGTAGCATGTATCTTTAATTTTTTTTTCTTCCGGCTACTCTACTAGTTTTTGTATGATTAGACTAGTTAAATCATCATATTAATAATTTAAATTTATCATGATAAGATATTGAACCCCCTGGACCTAGGCCTTCGCTCTTCCACAGCATGCCCTTCACAACATCTCTCAAGCAAGCAAATGCGCACCCACACACATTGTCATGATATATTTCACATAAACACAACCAATTTAGAGAACCAGAAACTTGCAACCAATTCTAATAACTTGTTAAGAAAATATGCAAAATTTTGGTATGCGTTCATATGCATGATAGTTTAAGTTTAGAATTATTTTCCCATTTAATAATATAAATTTATCCTTATGGATATTGAGATAAGTTTATGTTTTAATTTGAGCTAGGAAATATTGATTTTAGACTTATTTTGATACCCTTAATTCTATAAACATAATGATTTTCCTTATAAACATTCCATAGCTGGAATGATTATATTTATAGATTGGATTCCTAACTTCCTCCCCCTTCTCTTTTGTCTCCTTCTCTCCCTCTATTTGCTTTCTTCTACATTGATTATTTGCCCTTCATTTTCTCCTTTTCTAAATGTCTTCATTTGCATCAAAAAACTTGGTATCAAAACATTGATCCTTTTACACGCAACATTGGCACACCAGCATTCATCAATATGCATAGATTTGCACTTTCCTCACACAATCCGGCTGTGTTGCCCTGACTTTGCTGCTCACAACTGCAGGAAGCCTCACGCACTCATACTTCCAATCACAGGCGTTCTCAATTATGACCACTTGTATCCGCAAACCTATGCCCACTTTGTTTTCGTGCTCCCTCTATGTCCTTTCCCACGTGCCCTCTTCGTTCCATACTTAATTATCGCACTATTTGCAACTGTAGCTCCTGTCTCTCGCATTTTATAGCCCTCCTCACACATCCTCTGTCTGCTCAACATCCTTGCCAACTACAGATCCCAAAATCATCATTGTCCTTCTTTGGAGTGATGATTTCACCACTAAGAGAAATTTTCACCAATAGCTGATTTGCTTGAAATTTAGCTTCAGAATCATTCTAAAGATCTGAATGACATTCTCGAGAACATCAATAAAAAAAATCGAATTAATCATTCTTTTTACTCCTGAATGTTTTGGCATGATGCAAATCAAGTAAACAACTCTATATTACGGCATGAAATTACCAACTAGAACAAGATATTGAAGCTTCTGAATTTACTAGCCCACATTGAAAGAACAAAGAAAACACCATCGACCTTCTAGTCGGATGTTCATTCTAGATAAATGCTAAATAAATAATAGGTGATCCAGTTTGTTTGATTTAGTTCAATAAAATGCCTAAAGATCTCCATGCATCGACAAACCTCTCTTCTAAGTTTTCTTGACATGATGCAAATCAACTACTTATTGCGGCATGAAATTACCAACTTCTGAATTTACTAGAAGAACTAAAATAGTCCCACAATGGGGTCGTGGGACTATTTTGATTCCTTTTTAAGGACTTGAAGAATCAAAATGGTCTTTTAATATAGTTGGGGACCATTTTAATCCTTCACAAAGAGTTAAGAAACCATTTTGATCCCTTTCCCAATTAAAAATTATAGATTGAAATTGAATTCTTGGCTCTCTTCCCCTTCCCAGCAATTCCCATATTTTTCTCTTCACTCTCTTCCGCTTCCATCATTTCCCTTATACTTTCCATAATCCAAATCTCATCTCTGTTTGCACCACATGCCCTATCGAAGTATCAAGCATTTGATGAATATGGGATATGGTACAACCTTCTACAGAAATAACAGTTCATCATAGATCATGCAACATGAGCGATAGTTAACGTTTCTTCTGACATCTTCAGGGACATCAAAATAATTGAACAGCATATTTCAATTGTTTGACATGAGAAGATTAAAATTAAAGTCATTTAAAAAAAACTTGCAAATGAAATTTGAATTAAACAGCAAAAGCACCAGCAGAATTTGTGAATCAAACTTACCTCTAAAAATCGAAGATACTAGATTGCAAAGCAAGAAAGGTATGTGACTCAACAAGCGAAGCTGCTGTTCTTTGTCCTGCGGCAATGTACATATAAATATAATAATAATATATATAAATATATATGTGTGCGCATCTGTATATATATAAATAAAAGAGAAAATATATTAAATTGGATGAAACATTAAACCACCAAAATAAATCCTGGTATAACCACCTCAAGGTATTGTTCACCAACTGCTCCTCTAGCTTGCTTTGTGATTTGATCCATTACCTTCACTAAGTTGAGGCGACTGTGCAGGAAGAAGGAACTGTGGCTGAGCTGAAACAGGAGCTGCAACCCCTAGAACCCAGTGTAAAGAACATCAAATTAAAAAAAAAAAAGTAAACAAAATACGATGTAAAATAAAAACAGAGGAAGAACACAATTCAAAATTTTGAAGTTGAGGCATACTTCTTTACTGACTTTGACCTTGTTTTTTTCAACATACTTATGAAGTGTCTCATTTTTCAAGTACAATATACATAAAACATTATTTTAATACTTTCATAAGTATTTGTCTATATGGTTTAAAGCAAGTATAAATATTTGATCCATTTTTCATATCAACAGAACATTACTTGAAGAAGGACTAGAATCCACAAATGACATTTAACCTCATTGTTAACAGTGAGGCCAGGTTATATAAAACCCCAACTGACCATGAAATTGCATAAGGAAGCTTGCCTGAAAACGGTGCTTGAATTACAGGTCGTGCTGGAGCTGTAACTCCATTTATGTTAGGCCCGCCAGGTTGCAAAAGATGATGGCCAGGCATTGCATAGCCCTGTACAGCTGCAAAACCTTGGCCAGTGGGAATTGGCTGGCCAAACTGCCCGTAAGGGTAAATAGTTGCATTTAGTGCTCCAGGAACACCAAACACTTGAACATATTGCTGCGCTCCATATGGATTATAGATATTCTGTGAACCAAAAAGGTACACAAATAATGAGAACAAGTACAAAACAAACTTCGAAGCTCAATTGAAAAAGGCAAAAAACAAATCATAACGGCCTTTGGAACCTGTGGATATACATATTCTGGTCCATATGCTGCATACCTGGATGAAAAATCAATACATATTTAAGAAAAAAATTAAGGAAGAGCAGGTGGATCAGATTTTAACTAAAATGTAAAAAGTCTTTTCCAAGTATCCCTCCAAAAACACAGAACTAGTTAATCAATATTCGATTTAATTCAGTACAACAAAGAACTAACCATCACTATACAAACCTACACTACCATATTTCTTTTTCTACTAAAGAATTATTCACATAACCTCTATATTTCCTTTCTGCATTCTAATTAAAGAATATGCACGTGATAGACCAAGAGTTAATTGGACAAGGTCTGTATTCTTCTGTGAGTTATTCTTTATTTTATTACTACTCCACATAAATAGTTAGTCTTTGAGATAATATGTCATCATTTTGACAGCTGTAAATTCATTCAAAAAAGAACATTCTCAAGAAAATCTGTTAAGAAAACATTGAGATGCCACTAACATGAAATGAGTATTTGACCACTAAAAAGGAAAAACACTAACGCTTGACTTACCCATATGGAGGATATGGAATAGCTTGCTGGTAGTTGTAAGGAAGCGATTGGTGGTAAGTAGATCCTCCAACATAACTTCCTCGTGGAATAGAAATACCACCTATGTAAGGGCCAGAAGGCCTTGGGTGTGCTACAAAAAAAAAGTCAAATTACATGAAACACCAATCAGATTACAACGTGGCGCCTACCCGCAAAACACAAAACTTCAGAAAATCTAGTTGATTTGGAAGCAAGTTTTCATTCTTAAAGAGCGGAAAACAGAATTAGAAATGTCAAGAAAGCTTGCTTTAATAATCAACTGTAGGAGGTGCCTGACATTTGAATCATTTAATGCTGATACTAAAACTAAAGCAAATTGAAAGGTTCAGTTCCTGATTGAACAACCAGGACAAACGTGATCCTCCATTCTATATTTGTATCCGATGATCAGGAAATCTTCACAGCAACAGAACTGGATGTAAACGACTAAACGCCAAAGCCATATATATATGTATATATATCAAAACAACTATGAGCGTGAAGTTAATATAAGGGACTTGAAATATTCAAATCTGGGAACTCAAGCCTACTTTAGCAATAATCATGTCTGTAACCCGAATGATCAATTAGATTATGTGAGAAGAAATGCATGGAAATATGGTTGATGCCAGAAGATATGAAAGCAAGAACTATAACAATAATAAGATGCACTTCATGGATGTCCAGCCATTTAAAGTAGATTGAAAAAGGAAACAACAATAACATTGGGATGAGAAAATGGCATTGGCCTTGAAAAACTAAACTTACAAGACAATAACAGATCTCCAAAGCTACTTATGGATTGGTCAAATTCAATGCTGGTATCTTCACATGTGTTCTATATCTGAACAGATAAAGTCAAAGAATATCAATTTATTCGTTTAATCAGCTATAAAAATTCTTTTCTAGAGCCTCAATGAAGGGTGCCGTGAGCTACTGTCAGGGTGCATAAGGACAACTTTAAAAACTGTTAGTTTAACATAATTATGCAGACAGCTAATTGTTAGGTTGGAAAGTCAAAGATGATTATTCATAAATCATTTATTTAAAATCCCGCATTAAGCATTTTCCTACAACTACTTCCTCCAGACTAACACATCACCTCATTTGAGTAATCTGAATTCAAATCAAATAAAATACACAAAAAAGGAAATGTGTAAGAAAATTTAACGATTGAACCACAAATAACACTCAATATGATAAAAAAAAAAATAACACTCAATATGATAAAATGAACAGCTAATCAAATGCCACTCATAGCTCTTAGATTCCATTCAAACCCAAAAAATAGATGCAATCATGTAAACATGTCAAGCACATCAAATTAAGTTAGCGAAGCTGATAGTTTTTGTTACAAGTTTTGGAGCTAGTACTTGTTCAAACTCAGGTATGCAGCATCTGCAACCAAATCACAAAAATTATACCAAGAGATATCAATCATCCTTGGAATACCTGAAAATAAACATCAACTAAAAATGATTCACAACCGCTTTGTCTACTCTCCTCAAAATCTCCAGACTTTTTTTTTTTGAAATCAGCATGTGCCCCCCTCCAAAAATTTAAAATTTATTTATATATCATTTATTATTATCTTTATAAATATAATTTCAAAAAAAATACTCAATGTGTGCCCCTCTAAAAATTTAAAATATATATACATATACATATATCTATTGAATAATGTTAATGATACTTTTTTAAAAAGCAAATTTGTGCCCCCTCCAGAAAAATTTCCTATCTCCACTGGTATGAGGTTCAAATTTGAAATTAACATCAACGGAAAGAGTGATTTGACTAGATGACATTAAGTACATTTTAGCATTAAATTTTGTTATGCCCCTTCAAAGCCTCAAATATGTCTTAGATAAGAATAAGAAACCTCATAATACTTTTAGATCAGCTTTGACGAAAATACTTGGTCAAACTACAGTTACTACACTTATGAATGCTATTTGAGTACCTCTTTACAATACAATTCTTTAAAAAAAATATTTAACCTCCCTCAAACCCTAGTTTTCTTCTCATTTACATCATAAAAGGTGCAATCTTCTTTGATTTATTTTAATAATTAAAAATCGATGAACACATAATGCGCATCAACTAATGTTCATATCCCAAAAGACCAATTGCACGTGAAATCCATAATGTTTCAACGAGGAAGCTGAGCATCGCTATAGCTAAACATTGAATAGCATCCCCAACAGAGATAACAACTTCCACAATTAGAATGCAAATATTATATGTGGCATTATCAGCCATAGAATCCCAACATGGCAACTTCTGCACATAAAGCATCAGATGAAATAACCAATGGTGACCGAAGACAAAGTAAAAATATTTATACAGTCTACGAAAGCTGTTATAGTTTGGGTCCCATGTGCAAAGTCACGATAAATTTCAGAGTAAGGAGCATAGCAAGAAGGTGAATTTTCCAATTATCAAGGATACAAGAAAATTCTTCAGTTGTAACCTATGTAGGAGCGACAAAACTATCATAATACAAGCAGATATATGAGAAATATTTACAATTGAGCTAACACCACATGCAAAACAAAACAAAAATTAATGAAGAATTAGGATTCATAAAATTGGCTATAAAAAACTACACATCATCATCAAAATTCAGAAAGGTCCAATGTAAATTTCTTTTGTGACATGCATATGAATGAAAAACATTTCAGAATGAATCAATCAATCAAATACAATACACTAAAGATAAATGAAATGCAAAACTAAAGGAATCCGTTAGGGGAAAAAAGTATCAAACATACCAAGAAAATAACAGATTGAATAGATGCTATCACACAAATAACTCAAGCAATAAATCAAAAGAGGCATACCATAAGGTGGAGCAGGTTGAAGCCGACCAAATGAAGCCAAATTACAGTTAGCTCGCCTTCCATCTATGATCGGGTTCGGGTTGGCACAAGCCCTAGTTGCAGATTCAGGGTGCCGAAATGTCACCTACATCCTCCATAGAAATCCATCATAAAAACCAATATAAGTCACCTGAAACTACGAAAATAAAGGATAAAATCTTTCTCCACTATTTCCAACCAAAAAAAGGACCATATTTGACTCACAAATCCATATCCCTTCGACCTCCCCGTGTACTTGTCAGAGATGACAACGGCCTCAAGAATCTCCCCGAACTGCTCGAAATAGAGCTGCAGCGTCTCGCTTTGCGTCTCCCACGCCAATCCGCCCACGAACACCTTCGTATAGGTGGTATCGCCAAAGAGAGAATTTAAGAAATGAAGCCGAGGGCTTGAGCTCGATCCCGATCCCGATGCCGAGCCAGGCACCTGTGGGTAATATGCCATAGACTTGCACCGCACACAGAAGAGGAACGTATTGAACAGAATATACAAAAAGCAATTTAGAAACTGAGAAATTGAATAACGAACTAGAAAACCCTAGATCATATAAGAGCGACGCATCAGATTTATGTCGTCGGGGGATGATATTGAGGCAAACAAGGTATGGATTTCAAGAAGATCATGAATCATGACAGACGACGGTGAGAGATGCGAATTCGCTGGAAGTTGAGAGAAGAGGCGAGAGGAGAGAGCAGAGAATGTCAATATAAATTACATAAGGGTTCCGAAAAACAAAAAACATCCAAATGCAGGGGGTTTGTTAGTGCTGTTTGATTTGCTGAATTTAGAATGTAAATTAATTTAAATATAGAATTTTATATTTTTTGGTATTTGTTTTTAAATAAAATAAATATAAATATAAAAAAGAGTGTATTTGAAATATCTCAGATGATGTATTTGAGTGTATTTGAAATTATTTAGATTTATACCATTTCCAAATATACTACAAACACATCATCATTATCACCATCGCCCATCAACGTCATCATACTCCTACCGAGAAATTATTATGTGTGGACACCAGACACAGTTCTAAGTCCGGAGGCGAACCAGGTGCATCCACGTCAGCGGTACCGAGCGAAGGAGTGACATGGCGCATTCTGGTTTGTCTCCGGACATCATTCGGTGTCCGCACAAAATAATTTCTCCCTCCCGTGGACCAACACCCCCAAATAACTCCAAAATATTCCCTTATACAACATTTCTTTCACATTACATTCTTTGTACACTGCATTCTTTTTTCAGGCAACCAAACAGTCGTACTCATGGGCAGAACCATAATTTTCAATGGGGGCATTGAAAATTATGTCTGGAGATGAATCAGGTGCAGACAGTTAGACACGTAAGTGGTACCGAGACGTGGTACCGAGCGAAGGGATTACGTGACGCATTCTGATTGATCTCCGAACAATATTTGACGTCCGCACAAAATAATGTCTCCCTCCCGTGGGCCAACGCCCCTAAATAACTCCATAATATTCTTTTACACAACATTTCTTTCACATTACATCCTTTTTAAACTGCATTCATTTTTCAGGCAATCAAACAATCGTATGGTAGATTTACACAAATTTTCAAGGCTTAGTCATGATTATTTTCATAATTCTATCAGTTATTATAGAAATAATTGCCTCAAAAGTATGGAAAAATATATGAAATTTGAGGAACTAATTCATATAATATTTGATCGACGATTACGGCCAATACATACATTATAAAGCTTAGTCACTAAGGCATTAAGGTATAAACCAACATGGAACCAGATAACTTTTTTTTTGGAATAATTAGGCCAATTAAAGCAGACTCACACATAAATCGCATACACAAGACTCGAACCCAATACCTCTTAGTCGGTAGCCAAAGCTCCCTACCAATGTACTCGATAATATTTTGAGTTTAGTACCATAGAGGTGGACCCCTCTATGCAATTAAATTTTTATAATAGATATTAAAAATAAAATATTTAAAAGAAATAATAAAAAAAAAAGTAGGACTAGTCCCCCATTAAACTGGCAAGTGGCTATTGTTAATTTTTTTAATCCAATCGGGCATCAAGTCGCCCGTTGGATGAGTGACTGGTTTTATTTATATATTTATTTTTTAGTAAAATGAGTATCCATTTTTTATTAATGGTTTTTTGAATTTATAAATTATTTGAGAAGTTTGAGAAAATATTTTTTAAGAAACATTTAAATTTGATTCATTATTTAATCTTTCTAGGTAAATTTTCCTAAAGAAATATTCATTTTAAATATTTTTTAAGGACATGATTTAAAAAACCTATGTAATTAATTAATTTTTAGGTAATTTTTTAGATAAATATATAATTAAAAAAGAATTATATATCAAACACATGATTTTTTTCATATCGTTTAACTGTGTAATTATTGGAGAAGAAAGCACATTGTAATTAAAAAATTATTAGATGCCTACTATGTGATATGTTATCCTCTAAATATTAATGTGGGACCCCCTTTTCATAAATAGAGATAAAAAAATTTGTCATGTTTAAGGCACCGGCTTTTCACTATCATTCATTCAAATGACTTTCCATCAGCTATTGAGACTTTGGTTTCTAGTTGATATATAATCAAAAATTTATCTTGATCAAGCACGAATCTCAAGAGAGAATCAAGTTGGAAACTTCAAAAATTAATTGGAGACCATTTGAATTCTGATTTTAGCAAACTTAAAGTCGAACTGAACATCTCAGAAATATGAACCCAAAATAACAAATTTGACTCAGACTTCTATCCGACGCTAAACTTCTGTCCATCGACAGACTTCTACCCAACGTCGGACTTGCGCCAGTCGGCGGATTCCTATCTGACACTAGACTTCCACTCGTCGTCGGATCCCTATCCAATGTTGGACTTTTGCCCGTCACCAGATTCCTGCCTAACGTCAGACTTCGTCCGTCACCGAAATTCGGTCGATCTTCTACCCGATGTCGGACTTCTGTCCGTCATCGGACATTCGTTGGACTTCTATCTGACGTTGGACTTCTACCTGACGTTGTCTTTTCGACCTCCGTCATCAGACAAAAGTCTTTACAACCTCCGTCGCCAGATAATGATCTTTATAATCTCCGTCGCCAGCCGACTACAGTCCTTCTGACTTACGTCACCCACCGACTATAGTCCTTTCGACCTCCGTCCCCCACCGACTATGTCCCTTCCAACCAAGTGAATACGTCTACAGTGACACTTTGTATTCCCGCCTTGTAATGTACTTCATATGATGTAAATCAAGCCAAGGCCTTCGCCCTAAGAAAGGGTCTCATTTGTAATCAATTGCAAATACTAGTGGATTCATTCAAACTGGGCTAGGTCCCGTGATTTTTCCCCTTTTTTAGAGGGTTTCCACGTAAAAATCTTGGTGTCTCTTAAGATTGATGCACCCTCTCTTTTTATCTGATTGTGTGTTGGAAGTTCGTACAAAGTTAAGACGTTAAACTTTATATTTCTCTATTGTCATGAATACTTCAGGACGCAACACTAGTAATTGTTAGGTTTTATTTGAGACAGCTTTTTATTGATTTTAAAGTAGTTTTAGTACAAAAATGTTTAGTTCAATAAATTTTTTTAATTAAAAAGCTGTTTTAGAAAATAGTAATAAAGCTATCCCAAACAAAATCTTAGTGCATATTAGATATATAATATCGGAAATGCATCATGTTTAGTAGTTAATTATTAAAAAATTTGTACTAAAATTTTATTTTAAGAAATAATAAAAAAGTTGTCTGAAACGAAGCCTAAGTCATAATAAGCAATGGTGCTACTATTTAAGGTCTAGTAGAGAACTAGCAGCATGCCCAGTTGCATCTTTCTGAACTTGCTTTTAATTCACTCACACCCATTAGATTGAGTATCAGTCACCTTTCTTTTTGTAATCTTGTATGAACACTATTGTGAGAGAAATTGTGAAATGTAAGTGAAATTTTCAATAGGTTGGGGGGACCTATGGGTGAAGAAGAGTGTCAAAACGGATCGGCGGGTCGGGTTCGGGTGGAACCCGAGTTGACTCGGGCCTAAACGGGTCAATCCGAACCCGACCTGTTTTTACAAACGAGTCCAGAATTTCAACCCGAACCCGACCCATGCGGGTTACGTGTTAACCCGACCCGACCCGTGAAATCTGATGCCTGAGCTCTGCTTCGGGTCCGCTAACGGCGCTAAGTCCAGCATGACGGTCGAGTTGGAGCGCCGGAGAGGCCTGCTTTTGTTCTAAGCGTCGAACAACTCGAACACTAGCGTGGTCGAGGCGGAACCGCGGTGCGGCCGGAGCATCGCGAGGCCAAGGTGGACGTTGGAGTGCCAGACTTAGCGTGGTCGAGGCGACACAGAGAGGCGGAGCGGCGAAGCACTGGAGTTGCTTGAACCGTGGTGACTGGGCGAAGCGACTGAGCGACACGAAGCTTGTGACGCGAGTTATGCGACGGGACAGCCGGACATGGTATGACGCGACAAGTCATTTTCCCGGGTCAAAACGGGTCGATTTCGAGTTTATGTGTCAACCTGAACCCGACCCGGTTTTGCAAACGGGTCAAAAACTTAAATCCGAACCTGACCCGTAATGCAAACGACAACTGTTGACCAGAACCCGAAATTTTTCGGGTCGGGTTCGGGTCGGGTTTCGGGTCGGTTTCGGGTCGGGTCAGAATTTAACACCCCTAGACTTACGATCAATTAACACTTCGTTGAAGATTACAACTAAGTCGAATGAAGTGTATCAATGTTATACGTATCACTGAACATTAACATAAGATAAGTTATTATACATACTACATGTGAATGACATAATGACCCACAGAAATTAGACATTAGACTTTCTAACTGACAACAGTTGAAAACTTGTAAAAGAAAGAATTATGTAGAGTTTGATAGTCACCTTGTTGATCATTAAATCCTCCAAATGAGGTGCCATGAGTTTCTATATGAGATGTTAAATCCTGAATTAGACAATGGTGACAAACACAAGTTTAGTGTAGATGATGTCATATTTATCATTATGAGGATTAGATGGAAGATGATTTTATATTAGATGTTTATAACAAACTTAGTACCCAATCGACAAGGAAAAGTAAGATAAATAAATTTTTAAAGAGACTTAACTTATAAGAACTCCAACGATAGTTCAAGCATTACATCTGATATTGCTCCACTAAAACACAGTAGCAGTCAAAACTGTATAAGCTACTCAATAGGACAAAAGTTGAAAATGCTTTTAGAGTTTTATTTTTTATCAAGATTAATATATTCATGATTTTTTTTAGATATTTATAGCTTGTTTATCCCTAGACATGGACATTTGTATGCCTTTTAATCATTATTGATGTTATGTGAAATTAATTGAATGTGATCATTAATGGTATATATATTGCATTATCTTTATTTCCAATGATCTTTGTAGGGAGAAACAATAATGATTATGGATTTGGTAAGAGTCATTGAATTTAATATATAGAAAAGAAACAATGGATAAAATATATAACAAGTGAAATAAAAATCTGGTATAATCTCAAAAAATAGTATATACATAGTACAATTAACTCTCACACAGCAAGCAGCCTAGTGTCTATATTGTGAGGTGTATGGTAACACATCAGTGCCTGTGATAATGCTGAGGAGGTCGAATATCTCTCTCGTTTAGAGCATGTTAATCTTCAACATCAACATGTGCATGCTCATTTCAATGGAACTGAAACTGTTAACATTTCGTTATTGTTGAAGAAGTAGAAGATCTCCATCCACAAGAATCCAAAAATCTCCTCCCTTCATTCTCTCAATTGCAGATTTTTTGTTCAACATCTTTAAAAATAATCATCCTCGATAATAAAGATTGTTAATTATTACTTGTATGTAGAATGACTAATATATCATTGCATATTTAAAATAGAAGATTAGTGTATTAATTATTAGTCGTGTTTGATCTTAAATGCTTTAGCATGCTAAGGGTAATAAACCAAGATGACTTCTAATATCCTCAAATGAGTCATGAAGAACTCACTAAGCATGAAATTTTAAAGCCTATTGACATATTCTTATCATTTAATAGATTTTGTTTGGTTTTTTTTTTTTTCTTAATCTTGAATACAATGAGTTTCCTATCAAAATCTTCAATCTACGAGCTTCATAAAATAAATCTTTACATATTATCTAGACAAAATTATTGATCTAAATGCACATAAGATATTTATTAGTAGAAAATAATGCAATAACAAAAACGAAGAAGACAATTAAGAACTAAAAGATGAACGTGAGAGATAAGTAAGAGATGAAGAATGACCGAAGAGATAAAATGAGCACTGATATATATAAGTTGAGAGAGACGGAGACAAAGACAATATTTTCCAACTCAATAGTCAATTAATAATTATGAAATTATAATCGTATATTCATATAGCATCTCATATATAAATATAAGTCATGATAACTTACATCAATGTTTAGAAAAACAAATCACAAAATAAAAAAAAAATTAAAATTACATAGACACCCACTAATGCCAAAAAAAATATATATATATATCTTAAAGAGACCTTATGCAGGGTTCATCTCCTAAAGCCATTATGCTCATTAATATTAATATAAAATCAACAATGCACTCATAGCCATTCCTCAAAAGCTCTTTCCAAAGTTTTCTATTGAAAGGGACACCTATCTCATTATCCTTTTAAAGTCAACAATAAATTCACATGGATAATTTTTGTAATTTTCAAATTAAGGGTGGCCCTATTATAATTTTAACATATATAGAGGTCACCTTCCATATCATATAACTTACAAATTGATGCTAAAGCTTTCTAATATTTGTAAACCCCACCTTCGTTTTACCTAACTTGACCCATCATGCAAAATAGGGGCCATATGAGAGAAGACATATTCTCTTTCACTTTGAGAGATGGACCCCACTGTGGACCTTATCCATTTAAATAATTTCTAGTTGTGAAATTTATTAATAATAAAAAAAAGGTATTATTCTTATGATTGATTTTTAGGCTGGACCCTAAGTTTGAAAACCATAAAGCAAATGATGTAAGCCTCTTCATTGCTTAATAGGGTTCTCAAATATCTGAAAAAAGTGCTTATATATATATATATGTATGTTTATTCTCCATCCTCTCAATTGACAAAAACTAACATCTATTTCAAATTGCTTTTATAAATGCATTTATCTCTTAATTTTTTTTTGTATGATATTTTATTTTTTATAATAAAATTATTAAATTATTCTAAATTTTAATCAAATTGACTATCATATTGAAATGAACTCTAAGATTTCAATGGCAAATTTTCTAATGATTTAGGAATAATAATAATCTAATTAGTTATCTCCAAAATAATATTGGAGAAGCTTCTTCTCTTCTTCAAGCTGGAATATTGTGACTAACCAAACAAGCATCTGATGGGTTAACTAAATAGGGTTTCTTGGTTTCTTGTAGTTGACTGGTTAGCTTTGCTTGATTGCTTTGCCATTATAGGAGCTCTGAGGAAAGTTGGCTTAGTAGTATATGAGAAAGAGAAGGGATACCCGAAAGCTTTCTGTGGAGAAGAGAGAGAGTTCGCAATGGAGTTGGAATTGGATCAGTCTTCAAGGCAGGGAAGGGGTAAGGATGGTGTGGAGATTGGTGTTGGGGAAGAAGACTCCAAATTTCTTTCCAACTCATTGAATAAGCCTCTTCCCATCCTTCTAAAGGTTCTCTTTATTATTTTTTTATTTTTATTTTTTTATTGCATTATGGTATTCTCATATAAAATATATTGATCAATATTTGGGTATCAGAATGAGATGACAGGTTAAATTCGGATTCGACTTGAACTTATATGACCTGAATACAGTCAATTCAAACATGACCCATTTAATAAACGGGTAAAAAATGTCATGAGCATGTCTTATTAGCAAATCGAATGGCCTGAACCCGACATGTCAACCCGTTTTAGTTTTTTTTTTAAAAATAACTTAGTAATAATAAAGTTTAAGATATTGATTAAAAATTAGAAGATTATACAAAAAAGGAAAAAAAATAAAGAAAAATAATATTAAACGGGTCATTTTTTATTCAAAAATGAGTTTACAGATAAACTCGAACCCTTCCTATTTAATAAACAGCCTGAAAAATCCAACCTGAATCCGTCCCATTTATTAAAAGACTCAATTCGAGCCTAAATTTTTTAGGTCAGGTTGACGGATCAAATCATTTGTTGACACCTCTAATCAGGATGAGTTTAATAGTTATTGGATTTGGTTTAAGATTAGTATAATACTAAAATTTATATTACACTAATCTCAAAATTAATATAATAAATTTAATTATATTCTTCTTTATCTCTACTGCATGAAAATATAACATAATCATTATGCATAAATTCAACATATAACAATCAATCAGAAATCTATACACAAATGTGCAGAGACTTCTGATTGGCTATTTGTATCTATCTTAATGTTTCTATCAATATGTAATAATAATTTCTCAAAAATATCAGATCTCTTATTCAGATTTATTCTTCATATTTGAACATACAAAGTTTTATATTTTATATTTTGATATTTGCATAAATATTATTTTTACATAAATATTTAATTTATATCTACTTTAAATTTTACAATTTAAAATTATGAATATCTATTAAAAATTAATAATATTTTTAAAAAATATTATTTAATGCCCTGCTACAAATTTTTCTAATTAATAATATTATCAATAAAAAAATCTTTAAAAATTAGGTTCATTTATTAAGATTTAGTTTGGAATAACTTTTTTAATATTTTTTAAAGCAATTTAATAAATTTTTTTTTTTTACTTTAAAAATAGTGAAGAAGTTATCCCAAAGAAATCAGAAAAGAATATAAATAAAATGGAATCACTTAAATAAAAATTTAAATAAGGGTTATTTGTAAAATAATATGTGTTAATTTCTTATTGGACAGTTTGCTGACGTGGAATACACGGTTGCCGTGGGATCGGAGAGCACGATAAGAAAAGCGATGGGCAGCGATAGAAGCAGGCGGGGCATACTGAAGGGCATATCAGGAAGCGTGGGCCCCGGTGAGATCCTGGCCCTAATGGGCCCCTCGGGCAGCGGCAAGACAACTCTTCTCAAAATCCTCGCCGGCCGTTTGGATGCCGGCGGTGATGTCTCCGGCGCTGTCACTTACAACGATACTCCCTACACTCCTGCTCTCAAGCGCAGGTAGGTTATTCACCAGCACTCTTACGTTCTTTTGTTGTAATGAAAGGAATCTGAGTGAGGATTTTAAGATGGATGTAGGATAAAATTACAATGGTTAAATTGGGAGTGTTTGGGTTAAATTGGGAGTGTTTGGATTTGAGGGCTTGTTGAAGTAGGATATATTGATGATAGGTTGGATAAAGTAGATTTAGACAAATAAAAATTTATGTTGAAAGATTATAAAGGGAAAAAATAGACAATGTAAATGGAAGATCAAGGTTCAGGTCAAATCATTGTGTCATGCTAAGGTTAGCTTAAGTAACTCAAAAAAAAAATAAGTTGAGTTTAGGTCAGCCCAAAAATGATACATTAACTATTTGATTTTTTGTTATGAAAAACTTATTAAAGTATTGTTATTTATGTTAAATCGTCGTGTCCAAATTGGGTAATCATATCCTTTTTGGTCAAGTAAATACTAACCTCTCAAAACGTTAATATTTTTTCATATTATATCGAATTGGGTTTGGGTTCGATTGTGTTGAGTGTGGGGTGAGATTTTTTTACCTGTTTAATAAGTGAGTTGGGTTTGGCTTAGTTATATTTATGTTGGGTCATTTTCAAATTGGACCCAAACAACCCAAATTGACACCATACTAAACAAGAATGCATGAAATATGATCCTTGGGTCATAGATGATACTTTTGTTGTTGTTTACATTGATGGTGATGATATTGTTGATATAGGAAAAAAATGACTCACACCTTCAAGATAAAGAATGTTAATTTAATTAGTTTTATCAGGTCCATCTACTATAGCATATGCATTGTCATACAAGTATTGATATAGTGACAATTTTTTTTTTGTTAGGATCACAAATTAGTCATTTCATTAAATTTTTACTCATAAATTATCATTTGTTATTTTTATATTATTAAGGTGTGATGTTGATGATTGCAAAACCAAGCTTTATATATATATACATATTTAAGTTATGGTTTAACATTAATTGTGCATGAGCTTGTTAGTGCAGCTATGTAGCACTTTCTTTCAACAAAAAGCAAGTATTTACAATCAATGATCCTTCTACAATCAATGATCCTTCTCTTGGTTAGAATTGGGTGATCTTACGTACTCTCTTACTAAGATGAAAGCTTGCAATTTGGATTAGATCTTCCATAGAATCATCTTGCTTACTTTTGTTTAATTCAAATGATGGAGAATTGAACTTCATAAATCAATAATTTTTTTGGTAAAAATTAATAATAGTGATGATGATGATGCTTGTTTTGGCTTAGGCCGCTAATGATTCCCAAAACACTGTCATTTGTCTTTGGCCAAAGTTGCTTGATTGGCTCTAAGTTTTTCACTGCGATTTGCCTTCTATTTCTTCCTATTGTTCCCTTTTTTATTTGTCCTTTACTCCTCTATAATGCTCGTTTCTACACTATATATTTACTCATAGGTAATGCTTTCTACTTGAATTGCACAACACAGGATTGGATTTGTAACACAAGATGACGTTCTCTTTCCCCAGCTAACAGTGGAGGAAACCCTAGTATTTGCTGCTTTCTTGAGGCTCCCAAAGAACATGACAAGGCAGCACAAGTACTCAAAGGCAGATGCCATCATCAAGCAACTCAGCTTGGAGAGGTGATCGTAACCTTTTTATTTTCTTACATCAATTTCAGGATTGGTATGAACATTGGATCTTCACTTAGGAAATGAATGGAACTTGAAACTTGTAACCAAATTCTAGGGAGATGCCAAACTTCTAGTTTAATACATAGTTACCTCGAAATGACAAAATATTGGTTGCTTTACATATAATAATCTTTTTATATAATTTTTTTTTAAGTAAAATTTATTTTGAATGGTTAATATGGAAATAAATAAAAAGAATAAACACCGTAATCTTAATTGCATGAAAAATCATCTTTTGTCGAAGTCAGAATGTCTGACTAAGAGAGACTAGGAATCAGAGAATAACAAAAAAATTCTCTAATGCGAAAAATAGAGGCAACAAAAGGCTAAGATCAGCCGAAGAAGCTAAGATCTTTGGAGAAATCCGAAAGAACTCAGTGATAATATATTTGGAGATTATCAAAAGAATTCTACTTATGTAGATTGCTAAACAAATTAGCTACAATTACATCATGGAGAAATTAATGTGTATCATTTCATTCAGTCTCTTTGATCTCACACAAAAGGTTCTAATATCATGTCAACCAGACTCCTTCCCCTCACACAAGGATATGATATCATATTGATTTGACTGCTTGCTCTCACGTAGATTTTTCATCATAGTAGAAAAAATAATAGACATAAGCTTCGTTTAGGACAACTTTCTTACTGCTTCTTAAAGCGGTTTTTAGCACACAAATTTTCCCTAATAAAGGGTAATATTTAAGTAATTTCAACAATCAAATCTAGACTAACTGAGAATCTATAATTATATTCCTAAAGTACAAATATTTACAACTATACTGCTTAATGCACATATTATAGAGCCTTTATGAATATAACGGTTATTACGTTAGCTGACACACAAAATGAACAGAGATCTTTATGGCTCTATGTCTTCGACAGATGGATTATTGTGTCAAATATTTCTATTAGATGTTCTGTCCATGATAATATACAAAAGTACATAGACAAAACACGCATAAATCTTGTGTATTCTTGCACAGGTGTCGTCATACTAAAGTTGGGGGAGCATTTGTTAGAGGAATATCAGGTGGAGAGAGAAAACGAACTAGCATTGGGTATGAAATCCTTGTTGATCCCTCCCTCTTATTCTTAGATGAACCAACCTCAGGCCTTGATTCCGCTTCTGCAAATAAGCTCCTTCTAGTTCTTCAGAGCCTTGCCAAAGTAAGTTCAAAATAGTGCAACTTCTTTTTCTTTAATTTCAAGTACTTTGCGCAAACAAATGTCTGACAATTAATTTGCTTTGAAAAAACTGCTTTTAGAATGAGTTTTTGCAACTACATAAAATGGCTTTCTGAATACAGCTTCTCAACCTCTCTTTTACAAGAAGGAAGAAACTCAATCAAACCCATTAAACCGCAAATGTATAGTTAATCGAAAATTTACTCGAATTGAATTGCAGGCTGGTAGAACAATCATTACTACCATTCATCAGCCTTCAAGCCGGATATTTTACATGTTCGACAAACTTTTGCTTATATCAGATGGATACCCTATATACCATGGCAAGGCATGTGACTCTGTGTGGTACTTCTCTTCACTAGGATTTGTACCTGAGATTGCCATGAACCCTGCAGAGTTCTTATTAGATCTTGCAACTGGTCAAGTTAACGATATCAAGATACCCGAAGATCTTAGAAAATCGCTGAATCCACAAGATTTTGAGACGGAAGTCATTAAGGTGACAAATCTACCTTGAGAAAGTATAGCTAACTCTGGATATGTTGGAGTTTATTAAAAATCTTGTTATTGCTACCAAATTTTGTTGTAAATTGCCGTACTATTACCAGAGCTTATTATGAAACTCTAGCACACAAATTGGTTATTACTCTAATGATAATTCTAAGGTTGCACAATAAAGCAGTCTTTATTTATAAAATAAGGTAAACTACTTAGGAATTTCGAGAATGAAAATTCTCTTAAGATGGGCAGATTGTAACTCCCTGGGTGCTCTTGAAATTACCATTCCTTTTTGGAAAGAGATTAAACTATGGGTAATTTTATGCAATTCTCCCATCTACATTTACTACTGTTAGGCAGGAATCAAATTAAAGTTGATTTATTTCAAAGTTAAAGCTAACATTTTGTTTTGATGAATGAAACAGTTTCTACAATTAAAGTATAAATCAGATATAGAAACCAACGAGAGAGAGGAGAGTCATCAGAACAGCACCATACCGAAGCAGCTGAGTTTGGCAATTTTAGTAAAGAAGGATTGGACAATAGGATGGATTGAGCAGTTCTTGATAATATCCAAGAGAACATTCAGGAAAAGAAGCATGGACTATTTGGACAAGTTGAGACTTTTACAGACTGTTGGAGTTGCAGTTCTTCTTGGCCTTCTATGGTGGAAATCTAAAATAGGAAGTGAGGCGCAACTCAGAGATCAGGTATCATATACTGTGCTGGGAACTTTATATGAAGTAAAATGTTTATATGCATAGCAACCTTTTTGTGCCTGGATTTGTGGTGGCATCGACCAAATTTGAGTGAGTTAGGGTACTGAAATTTTTTAAGTTCAGCTTGACTTGAAGTTGGATTGCTATTCGAGCTAATCATTCTCTACTCATAATGAATAAATTTTGTCATGACTTAGAATCAATTTAACTTATGTTGGAATGTTTAATACATAATGCGCATGGTATTATTTCCACAAATTTGTGCCAGTTAGAACTGACTTGAAACTAAATAGCATAGTATAAATATGATTACATCTGATTTTTCGCCAAAAAAAGAGAATTAATATGACTAAATCAAAACAAAATTAAAATGTTTTTAATAAAACATAATATATACAGTTAATATATTTGTTTTAGCTTATTCAAATTAAATTTTCAGAAATCCAACCTAGGTCTAAATAGGCAAAAAAAAAATTTGAGCCAAAATCCGGCTCATGTCTCAACTCACTTTGAAAAAAATGACTCAAATTTTGAGCGAGTTTGAACTAAATTTGTACCCCTGATATGGCTTAAGGTAAAGCTGATTTAGAACGGCAGCATTTGTTTGACACTAAATCAACATCAAACCTTTGTCCCACTATGTGGGGTCGGCTACATGAATCCTTTTTCGTCATTATGTTATGTTAAAAATCAAATTCTCATTTAAATCTAATAAAGAAATATCATTTCTAATATTTTCTAATCAAGTCTTTTTAGGTCAATCTCTGCCTTTTTTTAACATAAGTCAAATCTATTGCCTCAACTTTCCTAACCGGATCATCGGAAGGCATGTATTTGTTTGACACTACATTGTGTTTTTGCTTGTCTTACCCTGCAGTCATTGTGCATTACTAATTGAATTTCTACTAAGTGCCGCAACTAGAAACTTGCACAAGAGTGGGATTTGAGCAGAAGATTTTTGTTTTTTTTTTTTGTAGGTTGGGCTAATGTTCTACCTATGCATATTTTGGACATCTTCTGCTTTATTTGGAGCAGTATATGTATTTCCACTTTGAGAGGCTTATTTGGTGAAGGAGAAAAAGCAGATATGTATAAACTAAGTGTGTACATGTTTCCAGTACTCTCTGCGACATGATAGCCCATATTTTTATCCTACCATTTTTCTTTCATTTGTACTTCATGGTGGATTTGAGAAGATCAGCATCTCATTTTTCTGACGCTATTTGCTATATTGTTATTGTTGTCACAAGCCAGGTAAATTGCGAGTATCCTTTTGCCTTCTTCTTACTGTTTAGATTGTAAGGAATAATTAAAGAATCATTTTAAATAAAAATATATGAATTTCTTATGATGTGTAACTTGGAAAAAAATAGCTTAAATGTTTTAAATATATTTTATTTTAAGCGGGAAATGGAACCAAAATTCTCAATTTTTTTTATATTTGCCTGTCTTTAGGGAAACAGGAGAGCTTTCGGAGCAGCTACCTATATGTAAAAAGAGGCAGGATTTATGGCCTCTTTGTGTAATGTTGTTTCTGCTCACTGGAGGCTATTATGTTCAGGTATTGATAATTGCATTTCTGCTTTCTTTTTGTAACTAGAAGCAATATATAGGCAATTGTCTTGTGTTTTTTTTATTTCTTATATTACAAAGAGGCATTTTTTTAATTACTAGACTTAACAGATATTAGGTGATGCAAAAGGTTAAGAGTTTATTCTCATCAGTAGCCATATTCCAAATATTTGGGACCTGCTTTTGATTCATTTTCATTCTCTCTTATGTCATAGCAAAATGTTCCATGAGACGCTAAATCAAATTTATATGATTTTTTTCACAACCTATATGTTAGTTATATTTGATCTATTTTTTTTCTTTATAAACTTCAACATTAGCTCAAGCTACTTGATTTATTAGTACATTTTCTCTCTCTCATTATAATATCCAATTATTAGGATTTCATTTGGCCTACTTTTCTTACTACTTTTTAAAGCAGCATTTTAGTATAAAAATTAAAATTTTACTAGAAATGCTCTAAGAAATGTAAGAAAGCATCTCAAACGAAGCATAAGTCTATTTTTCAATAATTTTCTATAAGATATTATTTAGACCGCCTCTATATAGCTATTCTTTAATTAATTTCTTATTTTTGCCTTAATCCTTTTAAAGCTCTCATTATTGTCATTCTAATTGTTCATTAATCATATGACTTTCTTTATTGTCTAATGTGATCATACAACAAAGCTAGTTTCATTTATTTTTATATTTTCTTTCTTTCTTTAGTCTCTATGGATACTTCTATTACATAATCACAGAAAAATATAAGTCTTAACTTTTAAAACTATATTCTTCATTTAGATCCCTATTTTCAATTTATAATTCATTATGCATAGCCATGACTAAAATTAACACTTTTCTTAGGTTGTTTGGAAGAACTTTTACAAGTACTATTTTCATGATAAGAAAAGTAGTTGTGAAAAATAATGTCTATTTGTAAGACAGCTTTGCATCATCTTTTTTTAATTTTTGCTTTTAAAAGCTTTTTCTTAAGAAGCATTTTTGAAACTCTGATGAAGGTTTCGTTTGTGACAGTTTTCTTACTGCGTTTAAAGCAGCTTTTTAGTATAAATATTTAATTTTTTACTAGAAAACTGCTTTAAGAAAACAATAAAAAAGCCGTCCCAAACGAAGTCTAAGAAAATAGTTTTTAAAAGCAAAACAAGACTTAAATGCCCCAAACAAACTCTTAATAAGTTCATTTGAATGATTTGAAAACACTTAATTAAAATCTCATACTTCTGTAAAAAAAATTTTGAACAGCACCTGCCCAGATTCATGAGGTGGATGAAGCAGGTATCTTTCATGCATCATGGATTAGACTTCTTCTGAAAGTACAAGTATAGGAAATCTCCTCTATGATTGCCAAAGCAAAGGGATGCCGAAGTCTTCAAAGTTCACCATCATTTGACACTATAAATCTGTACATCAATGGAATGAAATATGGATCTTGCAGCTATGGCTCTGATTTATAGATTATAGATATTTTTGTCTTCGTTGGAGAATTAATGCTTTTCAATCTGATGATTGTTGAAATATAACCGTTTTGG